CCCATATATTTTCTGGTGCAAATTCAATATATTCAGAACTTAAATATAAAATTAATAGGAAATAATAATAATCAAGTGAAGAGAATGGGCCAGAAAGAATAATCTTTTTTTCTTCCTAGTTTAGTAATAAATCTCCCTTTTCAAATCCTTTACTATAATGCATACTTATGTTCTCATTTTTAAAATTAAATACAGAGATATCTGAAAACGTGGTCACTAAAATATTAACAAGGTGAAGGAATTTTAAGGGTAGTTATTTTTGTATAGTGGAGCTAATTTTTAGTTTCTTCCTTATATGGTTTAATTTTTAACAGGGAACAGATATTACTTTTATAATCAGGAAAGAAGTTACTATCATTTTTAAAGAAAATGTAATCAATGCTTGATTATTCACATTTAGTTACAATTTCCATGGCCAATTTTTACCTAAAATGATTTCTGCTATCTAAAATATTCATCTAAACTATGTAATCATGGAAAATAAATTTTATTAGTAACCTAAACAAAATGGGTATGAATAAATAATAAACAGACTATGAAAACTTTAAAAATGAGTTCTAAAAGTAAATATTAAAGACTTAGCATAATTGACATGAACTGAAATTTCACCAAAAAAACTTGAAATTCTTGGAGACTGATCAACAAGTAAATTTTTAGTTTTTCTGAAGTTAAACTTTGAGTCTGAGAGGTCTGTGAGTGTTAAGTGCTGAATGATGTCTCTGGCCGCTCTTCCTCCTCTGTAGTATAAGCTTAAACTTCATCCCCTTAGGGCCCTCATTTCTAAAACAGCCACTCCGCTCACCCTCACCAGGGAAACTACCGCACACAGACAGATGTCCTTGCCCTGCCCTCACTTGTGGCTTTCCTCACCTGCACTTCCACTCTGACTTCATGACTTGACCTTTTAATCTCAGAACCACAGAGAAAGCTAAAGAAATAATAATTATTTTGTTTTAATAATTAATGAAATTGTAAACAACATCCTTTGCTGATAGAATATACAAATTTCTATACATAGTTAAATTCTCTCAAAGGAAGCATCTGGGCAGGAGGTCACCTAAAAAGTGTTATGTAGTGTAAGGTAAGGAAAACCCTTTCTTTTGTTTTTAAAAATTCTTACCTCATCAAATCCAGCAGCTTGCAAGTCTTGAAGCATTTGTGGATTAACTTCTGAAGTACTCCGACTTGTTTCATTTGCAAATGGTTGTAGAGAGTTTCGAATTTCCAGCAAGGCTTTATGATGCATCCCAAACTTGGGTGGATTTCTGACTTGTCGCGGATCCTCAGCTGACATTTTACTCATGTTATGCTCAGCCTTAGCAGCATCGGATGGTTTGGATAAATTCCTAAGGGATTCCCGAATTTCTTGCAGCATTTGTCGGCTGCTGCCAGTGTAGTTACTGGCAGGAAAGGTCTTAGGCCTCATTTGTCTATATCCTTCTGGCTTTTCACTCCTCTTCATGAAAACATCTATATATATAACTCACACAAAAGACTTCTTTAAGAGCTACTTGATAGGTTCAGAGCTTTCCTTTGAGCAAAACTGAAAAAGATCCTTTGTAGAAGTCCCCAGGAATGTTAAAATTTTTACGACCTAAATAAAAAAACAAACAAAGCTATAAAGTGACTGATAAAGCAATACCATGTATAGTAGTCAGGCGCCCCCTTAATTCCGGGGTATACCTTCTAAGACCACCAGTGGATGCCTGAAACCTCGGATAGTACCCATCCCTATATATACAGTAGACCCCTGAACAACATGGGTTTGAACTGCATGGGTCTATTTATATGTGGACTTTTTTCAACAATTAGTTGAAAAGACGGTACGACGCGACCTGGAGGTTGGTTGAACCTGAGGATGCAGAACGGAAGGCTGACTGTAAAGTTATCTCCGCCCGTTTTCAACTGCACAGAGGGCTGGCACTCCAACCCCCAAGTTGTTCTAGGGTCAAGTGTACTATGTTTTTTCCTTTACATACATATTTATGATAAAGTTTAATTTATTAATTAGGCACAGTAAAAGATTCGCAACTAACTAATAATAAAATAGAACAATTATGGGAATTCGCTGGCAGTACAGTGGTTAGAACTCTATACTCTCACTGCCAAGGGCCCAGAGTTCAATCCCTGGTCAGGGAACTAAGATCCCACAAGCCTTGTGGCCAAAAGAAAAAGAAAAAAAGAACAATTATAACCACATACTGTAATAAAAGTTATGTGAACATAATTTCTCTCTCAAAATATCTTACTGTATAAATGAAATGCTTTTTCCATCTTACCTAAGCACTTATCATATACTGTGGCCATAACCTTTACAGTGAGGTGTGACAGCAAAACTAGCACAAATTTCTTTTTCCTTCTACACAATTTCATGTATAGAAGATTCGTTCTTACCGTAGATCTTAAAACCTTGGCACACTATTTTTTTTTCTTATTAAATCAAGAACGTTCACCCTTTCACTTTAAGGAAGCACTTTACGGTGTATCGGAATTGCCAGCATCACTACTCTTGCGCCTTAGGGCCATTATTAAGTAAAACATGAGCTGCTTGAACACAAGCACTGCAATATCATGACAGTCATTCTGATAACCCAGGCGGCTGCTGAGTGACTAATGAGAGGGATACACTGGACAAAGGGATGATTTACTTCCTCGGTGGGATGGAGCCAGATGGCATAAGATTTCATCCATGCTACTCAGAACGATACACAACTTAAAACTTATGAATTATTTCTGGAATTTTCCATTTAATATTTTCAGACCACAAGCGACCATGGGTAACTGAAACCTTGGAAGGCAAAACCACGGATAAGGGAAGACTACTGTATTAAGGGGGAAAAAACCCCACTGATTTATAAGTTAAAAGACCTAGGTTATAGTTCTGGTTCCATTAAGGATTACTGTATAGTCAGGACATGTTAGTTGTGCCTATTTCCTAATCTACAAAATTACCTCAAGTACTGGTTATGATGATAAAAATAATTTCAAGAGTGCTTTAGTAAGCATATAAAGTACAGCTGACCCTTGAACAACACAGGGGTTTGGGGCACCAACCCACCACACAGTGGAAAATCTGGGTGTAACTTATAATCGGTCCTCTGTACCCTCAGTTCCAAGTCCGTGGATCCTGTATTACAGTAGTATTTACTATTCAAAAATCCACGTATAAGTGGACCCGCACAGTTCAAACCCGCGATGTTCAAGGGTCAACCGTATATACGAATGCGAAGGATTTCTAGTGAACAATACAATGGGCAACCTCCCATTATTAAATTCTTCATCTAGTGGCTACAACTTTAGGTTTTACTACCAGACTTCAAGTATACAATTGCTTTAAAAGAAAGGGGACAGCTGCTTTTAAAAAGGTTTTTAAATCACTAGTCCAGAAGATACCTTTATGCTTCAAAAACAGATGCTTGGATTTATTTCTCAAACTGCGGACTGGGACTCTAGAGACAGTAAGCTTATTAACAACAGGGTGAGGAAAGGACCTCTAAGGACTTGTCTAATTCCTTACTTAATGCATGAATGGCTTCTACAATGCACTGGAGCAACAGTCACCTAAAATCTACTTAAATATCCCCACTGATAGGGAAATCACTAACTCAAGAAAGCCATTCCATTTGTGATCTGCAACAACTGTTAGAAATGTTCTATGTGGATCCAACACCATGAAATCTCACTCAGTGCATATTCAGAGCCTATTACAGGCTGATGCTAAACAACTTTGTCTGCATTCTTACCAACCATCATGTAATGTGAGTGGTGATTACACTTAATGAGACTAGAAATAGGTGATAATTAGCAATGTTTCATATCCCCATGGTTCCAGTTACAAACTGTTTCACCCAAACTCTCTGAACCTCAGTTTTCTCATCTACAAAGTAGAGGCAATAAACCTGTGTTACCTCCTCAAAAACCCTTTCCCCAGTTACCTAATTACCCTGTTTTATTTTCTTGTTAATACTTACCACTATCTAAAATTATCTTACTTGTTTACTTGTTGTCAACCTCCCCTCGCTGAAATAAAAGCTCCATAAAAGTACAGGACCTTATTTGTCTCATAAACACTGTCTGTCTACCACCTATATCAGAGCCCGGCACATACTGAGTGCTCGATAAATATACATGTTAAACAAATGAAATAAACATGTCTCCTAAACATCCCAGTTCCTTTAACTGTTCTCCAATTCTTGTCATTCTTGTCATGCTTTTCTGGATACCCTCTAGTTTGTAAAAATCCTACTGGTGCTAGAAAAGCACAGCACTTGTAATGAAAAAACAAACAAACAAAAAATATTCAAGTATTTGTTCTGTTAATTATTAGCAATGTGAACTTTGGCATTTAATTCTCTCAAAAATTGCCTCCTGAGGCATAAAATGGTTAGAGTAAGAAGGTTTACCTTATGGCTTGAACAAGGATTAAGAGGAACAACCCAATACAACTAAAGGAATATACACACAAATGTTTAAAACTGTAGAATGCTCCTGGCAATACCATCTATAAGAGCAAATATAGATGTCATCAATCTAGATGCTCATCAGTAATTGTTTGAGTATTTATAGTACATCTATATAACGTGATGAAGGAGATGTTAAAAAGACTGATGCAGTTCATGAACAGATACCCATAATATTCTTTAATATTCTTAAGCAAAAAAGGCAAATTTCAAAACATTTTGTATAAAATAAAAGCCAATTTCTATTCTAAAATTAGACTACTGTGATGGAGAACCTAATATATAGCAAAGGGAACTCTACTCAATGCTCTGTGGTGACCTAAATGGAAAGGAAATCTAAAAAAGAGTGGATATGTGTATATGTATGACTGATTCACTTGGCTGTACAGAAACTAACACAAACGTTGTAAAGCAACTATACTCCAATAAAAATTAAAAAAAAAAAAAACAGGAGGGCTGCAACAGCCCCAAAAGCAATGCGGCCCAGTATAAGAGCCATATCAGTTTCAAAAAAAAAAAAAAAAAAAAAAGATTATCACGATGGTTGTACAGGTCTGTAAACATACAAAAAAACAAAAAACACTGAATTATGCACTTTAAATGAACAAACTTTATGGTATATAAATTGTATCATACAGCTGTTAAAAATAAACCTTTGTATTTTAAAAAATTATATTTATGGATATTAATTACATATATACACATACATGAATATTTGCAGAAGGCCTGAGACAGGAGGAAGTCCTGAAGCAGACCACTAGAGGCACAGTTTCCTGATGACTTCACCTCAATAATCAGTACTTTTGTGGTACAACTGCTAAATTAGTTATGAATCAATCAAATTCTACTTGACAAGCAGCCCACATTTCTCCATTTTGTAAAAACAAAAATAATGAACTTTGTCAATGTTATGTCTGTCTACAACATGACCCAATCTACTGATAATTATTTTATAAACGAAATTCGGACTGATACATCTTGTGCTTTTATGAAGAAAGCTGGTCTCTAATGATAAGCATTTTTTCCCCTCAGCCTTCCCAGAATATTAATAGCTTACTAATGAATTTTTCTAGGTTTAACACTTAGCTCACGAGTCTAAAGTTGCAGAATCAACTCTCTACCCTTTCTAAAAGGGAAGATATTTTCCACTTCCAGTCTAGAACCTATCATTTCTCCATCATCAAGGATTAACAACAGTGGTTGTGCAATGTCACATGTCAGTTCTCTCAGTATCTGGTTTGCACTTAATTTATAGCATCTAGGCAATCCTTTAATATTTCACTTATTTTGGGTTTCAACTCCAAGTTAGCCATCATTTTTTTTTTTTGGGCCGGGCAGTGTGGCATAAGGGATCTTAGTCCCCCGACCGAACCTGTGCCCCCTGCAGTGGAAGTGCGGAGTCTTAGCCACTGGACCACCAGGGAAGTCCCTAGCCATCATTTTATTTATTTTTTTTTAATTTTAAAAATTATTTATTTATTTATTTTTGGCTGCTCTGGGTCTTCGTTGCTGCGTGCGGGCTCTCTAGTTGCAGTGAGCAGGGGCTACTCTTTGTTGTGGTGCACGTGCTTCTCATTGTGGTGGCTTCTCTTGTTGCAGAGCACAGGCTCTAGGCGCACGGGCTTCAGTAGTTGTGGCACGAGGGCTTCAGTAGTTGTAGCTCGTGGGCTCTAGAGTGCAGGCTCAGTAGTTGTGGTGCACGGGCTTAGTTGTTCTGTGGCACATGGGATCTTCCCGGACCAGGGCTTGAACCTGTGTCCCCTGCATTGGTAGGCAGATTCTTAACCACTGCGCCACCAGAGAAGCCCCTTAGCCATCATTTTATTATTGTATTATTTTACCACTTCCAAGATCATTCTCCTTGATAGAGAAGAAAAACCAAAATAAGCATAGTTTTGCTTCTCTCTGTCAAGATACTACATTTGCCTTCCATCCCCCTAAAACAGAAACTGGTAAACAGCAGGCAGTGCAAAAATATCTGTTAAACTAATAAATGCAGGTGATTTATTCCTTCTTTTTACTCTTAAGAAAATATAATCTTGGTTTTTTCTAATTATAAAAAGATGGGCCTTACTGAAAAATTCAAATATTATATAATTATGTAAAGTAGAAGTCCCTCATAAGTCCCTCCTTCAACAGAGAGAGAACCACTGTAGTAGGCTGAATAATGCCATCCCAAAAGATAATCACTTCCAAATCCCTAGAATCTGAAAATGTTATCTTATTTGGAAAAAGGGACTTTGCAGGTGTCATTAAGGAATTTGAAATGGGGAGATTATCAACAATTATCCAGTTGAGCAGTACATGCATGGGAGGCGGGGGAGATTTGATACACAGAATAGGAGGAGGCAATGTGACCATGGAGGCAGAGGCTAGAGAGTGCAGCCAGAAGCCAAGGAATGCTGGGTAGCCAAAAGAAAGATGGAAATGGCAAGGAACTGCTTTTCTCCTAGAACCTCCTAAGGGAGAGTGGCCTTGCTAACAACTTGATTTTGGGCCAGTGATACTGATTTTAGAATTCTAGCCTCCAGAACTGTATGAGAAAACATTTATGTTGTTTTAAGCCTTCAATTTTGTAGTAATTTGTTACATAAGGCACAGAAAACTAATACAATCACTATTAATACTGCATACTCTAACATATATTACTCTTAATCAAAATGGGATCGTAACACACAAAATATGATGTCATTCTTTTACATTATCATGTGACTTTACAAGAAGAGAATGTCATGTTGACCAAACTTTTCTGACCAAAGAACTTTTTCCCCCAGAGCATTTTATGGGATTCATGCTCTATGTAATATACTTTAAAGAATGCTGGACCAGTGAGATTCACTCTAGTCCTACATTCTATAACTCTGTACTTTGACTAACATTCCTAACATCCAAGTGAGTGCACAATGGTCACAGAAATGACTGAGTTCTGGGATACGTGTGATAATGTGTTATAGGTTTAAATAAATGATTAGTTTACACTTAGCTCTTTCATATACATGCAGAAATACTTGCGAATAAGATATGATGCCTGGTATTTCAAAATAATTTGGTTTTGTGATGAAGTGGATGGAGATTTGGATGAGACAAAAGTGATAAACTGATGATTGTTGTAGCGGGTGACGGGTACACGACAGTTCACTGTACTGTTCTCTTTACTTCTGTGTATACTTGAGTTTTCCAAAACCAAAAGCAAAAAAATAAAGAAAATGAAATGACTATAGCGCTCTGTATCTTGGAATGGTTCTGCTACAAATTATTTATTTATTTTTACATCTTTACTGGAATATAATTGCTTTACAATGTTGTGTTAGTTTCTGCTGTATAACAAAGTGAATCAGCTGTATGTATACATATATCCCCATATCCTCTCCCTCTTGAGCCTCCCTCCCACCCTCCCTATCCCACCCTCTAGGTGGTCACAAAACACCGAGCTGATCTCCCTGTGCTATGCAGCTGCTTCCCAATAGCCGTCTATTTTACATTTGGTAGTGTATATATGTCAATGCTACTCTCTTACTTCATCCCAGCTTCCCCTCCCCGCCTTACAAATTATTCTTATTCAAATACAAAGTACACTAAAACACACAGGATTTCTTTAAAGAACCATTAATTCTATGTAACAATATTGTTTCAACATTAGCTTTTCAAGGGAAATAACAGAAACATTATGTTTAAATGTTCATTTCAATTGTAATATGATCTGCATCACCTGATGTCAGAAATGGTGAAATGGAGGAAATGTGGCATGTCTTTATGCAATTGCTTTTGATTAATACCTGTGGAAGAGACTACACTAACATACTGCCCTCTATTTCCCAGTTAGTTGCCAAAGCCCCGCTAGTAGGTATCTGTAATGTGTGTCCATTCTGGGCCAAGGCAGTTAAAAGCCACTGTGCTTCTCCATCTGTTGCTTTCCTGCTTCAATGACAATCCAGGTCACATTTTGAGATGGTAGCTTCACATTATAGGGGACTGTGGGTCCCTAAGCCACTGGATGGCTTACTAACGACCCCCATTGGACTGTGTGTGAGCAAGATAGGAAATCTCTGTTGTGTTAAGTCATTGATATTTTGGGATTTGTTACCACAAAACAGCCTAATATTATTGTGGCAATAAAGACCGTCAAAACAAGCAGAGTCTATTTATTCAGAGCTTGCTATTGGAAGGGAGTTGGCCACCGTCACTCGTGTTTAGCAGAGACTCAAAGGCAGGCAGGGAAGCGGAAAAAGACTTCAGGTATGCTCTAGTTGTAGGCTGCTGTCATGAGGAAGCTGGAGGCCAGCTAACTAAAAGTGGGACATCCTATGTGATTGTTTTGGGAAGCATATCTTGTTTTCTCTTGTTGGTCCTGAGAGAAGCTGGCATCTACTGACCAAGACTTGACTGTTTGGGACTATTGCTACTAAGACTGTGGGTCAGAGTTCTACTTTCATATATGATCTAGCCATTGTCTATTTGTATACGTAGTCTCTCATTACCCTAATACAGAAATTGGTACCTAGAAGTGAGGTGCCGCTATAATGTAGGCCAGTACGGCCAAGTGGTCAGGTTGAGGGCTTCAAGGGAACTGATACTGGAGGCTGGAAAAATGGAGAACCATGTTTCACAGTGGCAAAATATTTGATAAAGTGGTTTGCCTGTTATAACTCACAAGGTAACAAACAGCCTACTGAACTTGTAGTTCTATGACAAGAGTTTAGAAAAGAGAATTTTAGAAGTGTATGCTGGCTGCTATTGGCTATTTGGCAAAGCAATATAAATAAATGACAAGATCATGAAAAAAAGCAGCTTATTTGCAAACAAAAATAGAAAGGGACAGAAAGGGTTCAGAAATTTAAAGTCTTGCAGAACTGGAAAAGCAGCTCGCTTTTAGACCCCAACATGAAGAGGTAGGATTAAAAGATTCTGAGCACAGATGCCCACTGAAACTTCTTGGCTGATTAAAATACCTCAGTGGTTTAAAACAACAACAAAAACCAACGTTAAGGGTATGGCCTTCCCTCAACCAACTGAGAAGCGAAATGGGAGTTCTCAAATCTTTGGATGAGGTTACTAACACATGTGAACTTTGGTTATGGTTACTGACACATGCAACTGACTGGAATTAAACACATCAGAAGCTTTCTAAATTGAGGAAACTGTTTTGTTAAAAAAATTTTTTTTTGAAAAACCACTCAAGCTCAAACTAAAAAACCCTTCAACTATTCAAAATTTAAAACCCTTGGGCTCTCAACTCCTATGAGCAGTAACTTAGTCAAGAAAGATTTGCACCTTCCAAAGACGGACTATTCCCCCAAAGCTCACACTTCATAGGTGACCAAGGATGATTAAGGAAAAAGGACTCCCAGGAGGGCCTTGGAGAGCAATGGCCAACAGTTACAAAAAACAATGGATGAGGGAGTTCCTCCCAGACAACTGAATCAAGGTCCAGTAAAGGAATCTCCCCTTCCTCCAGCGCTGGTTGCTTTCACAAGATCTGCCTATGGTGGTTTTAAAATTATTTTATCAGCAATTGCTATTTCTCATTCTTCTCCTTTTCTAACAGTAGTGCT